GTTAGAGGCCATCGCTATTTGGTTGGAGGCCATCGCTGTTAGGTTGGAGGCCATTGGTATTAGGTTGGAGGCCATCGCTATTAGGTTGGAGGCGATCGCTAGTAGGTTGGAGGCCATCGGTATTAGGTTACTGGTTGCAGGCCATCGTTTGCGCTTGTTGTGATGGGTTTCGGGGTGCCTAGGTGTGATGCTTATGCAGCATGGTGCGAACCCAACCATCTCCAACGGCCGTGGGCAGAGGGCTGTGGAGTTGAGCAGTGATATTTGGCTAAGAGAGGCTGTCACCGGCTACTCACAGCACTGGGAGCTGAAGACACTGGAGCAATGGACACCACCCAAGCCAGAGGCCACTGACGTTCAGGCAGGACATTCAAAAGTGGCCGGAGAGACACTGATGTGGTCCCCTCCGGGCCCGCCCCTCCATGCCCCATGTATTTGTGCCTGTGGTCCCTGGATGTTGTCCCATGCTTTTCCGAAGGGAATAGCCGTTTGCGTTGAGCCTCCCAACTCTTTAAGACAGATACTCATACTGACAAGATTTGTGGGCCTGCAACCAATAGCGTCAAATTTGGAGACGCGTGCATCATCCTTTTTCTGGCAGGGGTTTGTACTGTATAGTTTTCCCGTGGGCCATGTTCAGGTTTCTTCCAGGCTGTGCTTTGAGCCCTTTTTCGTTCCACGCACGGCGGTCATGAAGGAGGGCGGCGCTGACTTGCAGAAGCTCAGCGAGGCAATTTTCAACCAACGGCCCGGCCAAGGACTGGCCTTCGTTGTGGCCACTGGCTGTATCCGAGACTTTCCGGTCGAACTGAGTGCATTCCTGGGTCAGCGAGGCATATGTTCGTCCCAAGTTGGGTCATTTCTGGGAGAGGACTTTGCTTTGTCGCAGACCTTGCGGCTGGAGTTCATCAACTCAGTAAGACTCATTGGGACAGGCGTGGTGTCCTGCCTGGCCAAGGTCTTCAAGACCATTGTCATCCCGACAGAAATGGTTAAAATCGATCGTTTGGTGGATGGGATCGCGCAAATTTGGTGGCGGCAGCATGAGCAGCTAGCGAAGAAGGAGGGTGACGACAGTCAAGCCAAGGATGAAGATCCCGAGGTACATGGAATGGAGCTGATGAGAAGTCTCGGCAATTACGATGTCTTGCATCAGCTGATGTTTGCAACCATCCTTTTGCATTGGAACTTGCAGCTTGGCTCAAGCAATGATTGGGTTGAAGAATCAGACCTTCTTGGTCGTCCTGATTCCATCCGAATATCTCTGTTGAATTCTGTTGAGGTATGCTCCTTTGCCTCCTTCGCAGCGAGTGAGTGCTGAAGAGTGGCTGGAGATTAGCGCTGGAATCCTTCCTGAACACATGGAGAGGAGTGAGGTGGATCTAAAGCAGGTCCAGCTATTGATTTACAAGGTCTGCAGCTTATATAGCAAGTTGTTAGTTTCTCGGTGTCAGCAATCAAGAGCACGACCCAAGTGGAATACACTTGTGAATGTATGCCACTAGCTCTGAAAGCGCTGCCAGAAGGTGATCAGCCACAATTTCTTTCCTCAATTGGAGATTTGGAAACCCCGATCTTCCTCGAGCAAGAAACAGGCGCAGCATCGTGTCGTGCTTTCTAGTGTCTTGTGGGACAAGACCAGAGAGGAAGAATGCTCTTCCAACTGTTCTTCGTGCAGAAATCAGGTACGGCAGCAAGTTCCGGATGATGCCAACACAAAAACATGTGACATCATTCAGAGTCCCGAAATCGCATGCAGGCTTTGGAGCCGAGTGCCTCCACCTGGGCTCGTATTGTGGTGGGATTTCCATCCCTGGCACTCACCGGCGCACAGAGGTGTGACCGAGGGCAGAACATGGGGTGACGAATCCCAAAACGGGTAGCATAGTGAAAACATGGTGAACCCCCAGCTTCCTAGTGCAGTTTGGGGGGCTTGGCAGCCCAAAAAGTGGACGAGCTGGACACGGTTCGCTTGCGGATTCTGTTCTCACGTGCGTCTTCGCTGGCAGGGTGGAGAACTATCGCCACTTGCGCAGCATCTTGAGCGAAAGCACCGGTCCTGGAAGCACGTGCATGGCCAGCCCATCACCTAGTCGTGAAGGTGGGGCATGGCCACGAGGGGTCCCAGATGTTGGTGTAAGATGTGTAAAGGATAATTTGCAGGAAACTCATGGTTTTAGGGGTGAACGCCATGGTTTCCTGTAGATGGTCTCCCTTCAGCCAATCCAATGATGGAGCTTGCGCAATGCTTGCGTCTTTTTTTTGTTGTTGGAATGAGTTGCATACGCAAAGACCAGGCAGAAGACCAGGCAGAAGACCAGCGACGACGTTGCTAGCAACGGATTCGCCAGGACCCACGCCAGTACCTGTTCGAGCTCGTGCTGCACCAATGTCTATGGGCTTTGGTCTGGAGGAGCCAGATGACCACTTGTACGGCAGGGGTCCACAGGATGTTCTTTCTTTTTTTGGGCCCAGATGTGCCACACCAGTGCCACAGCAGCGCCGCATGTCATTGCTTGTCTCGTGCTTGTGACCTTCTCGTGTCTCTCGTCACCACGGCCGCGTTACGGCGGTACGTTTTTGCTTGCCTGTTGATGTCCCAAATCACAGCCCCTCACCACCCCGGGCCAGGTTTCCACGAATCTGCTGGGCCAGGGCCTGTGGGTGGCCGTGTATGGCTGGCATTGCACGGGGCTTTTCTCTTCCTGTCAGCTGGTCCAGAGCCATGGGCCCCGATGCTTGGCCCAACATCGGTTTTTTGCCGCGTGTCTGTCCCCCCTTTGGTGGGAGAGGTTCCTTTTGCAACCCGAGGTATGCCTTCATGCGCGTGGCTGACTTGGTGGTTCAACGCTCAGTCGTTCCACATCGCCCGAGCAACCATCGCCCTTTTGTCACATCGCTGCAAAAACCGCGTCGTCGACGGACTCTGAGGTCAAGAGTGATGCCCAGACGCTTTTGCTCACGTTGCTCCCATCCTTGTCCACGGGCACATTTCTGTCCAGCCCCACTGCGGCGAAACCTGGGCGACTTGGGACGAGACGGGGTTCTCGGTCGTCCGGGCATGTTTGTTTTTTTTGCGTCGTATGTTCAGGTTCGGTGCTGGTGCTGTCGGTCGATCGGGTCATAAACCCGAGAGAATTGGACTTTGCGCGCTGAAGTACCGCGCCAATCTCCGAGTGTTCCGCTCTCCTCTTGAGTGCGACACAAGTGCGAAGTGCAGCAGAGCGACACAAGCGAAATCTGAGGCTCCAGGTGGTCTTCTTACTGCCAGATGGCCGGTGGCAAGTCTTGGAGGTCCCACGGTTCCAGGCCTCGAAGAAAGACTTCAACTGAGAAAAAATCGACACGAATGAGTCGTGCCCCAAAAATGACACGATTTGCCGCGATCTTCTTGGTGGAGAACTGCTATGGCAGCCGGAATCCTGCCTTCCTGTTTGCTAGAGTAGAGTCTTCCCTTCCACAAAGACCACTGACGCAGTGTTCTTTTTGCCGAAAGCAAGTTGTACAATGCGGACCTACACATCATCACAAACCCATAGCCATACAGAATCACACACGTTCGCACAGGTGCAGGTCTCGGATAAGAAGCAGTTAGAACTTGTTGGCGTGGCTTTATCTGAGCAGTGCGCCTTGGCAGAACCTTCATTTGGCTTCGTTGCAAAGCCTTTTTAGCATTTTGAGAGCTTGCGTTTGCTTGCATGAGCTGAGGCATCGATGGGCCAGCAGTCGGTGAGTGGAACTCTGCATCGCCCATAAGTGGTAGTGAATAAGAGTTTCATGACATCCATTCCTTATCTTTGCCTGGCGTTAGAACCATAAGACCCGCGTCATGTTTGTCGAAACTGAAGTCGCGTGCTAAATCGTTGAATGAGCTGGCATCGAAATGGACAGACAAGTGTGCAGCGTTTCACCCCTGCATTCGAAGGAAGAAAAGAGGTTGTGTGTTACTGCGTGATGTCCGACACCACTAGCTCTGCACGGTAAAAAAAAAACACGCATATATATATATATATATTTATTTATTTAGTATTTTTCCCCAAACAGTTTACTGTTAGGGGTTCTCAATTCTTTCTTAAGATGTGTCCGCCCTTTGTGTCACTGCTGGTGTCCGCCCCTTTCCCGCTGGCCATGTAGCATTTCCATTCATTTGTCTCCCAGGTCTCTCACGGGTGGTGTCCGCCCTTTTCCACTGGCCATGTAGCATTTCTATTCATTTGTCTCCCAGGTCTGTCACTGGTGGTGTCCGCATTTTCCGCTGGCCATGTAGCAACAATGTAGCATTTCTATTCATTTGTCTCCCAGGTCTGTCACTGCTGGTGTCCGCCCTTTTCCGCCTTGTTTCCCTTCTGTCTCCCTTTGTCTCCGGTCTTGTCTCCCTTAAGGTTGATCACTGTGTCCGTCTTCTCTCCCTTCTGTTCCCTTTTGTTTCCCTTCTTGTCTCCCTTCTCGTTGATGTCTCAAAAGGTGGACTTGGGAATGCTTCGTTGTTGTCCCACCTGTTTGGGGTCTACGGTGGTGTAATTGTTTTTTACTATACAATTCTATTCAATACAATTCATGTATATACATGTGCTGCTGCCATGCAGCAGGCATTCCCGTTTTTGGCACCTTTGAGAGAAAGAGAAGCACGACAACACTCAAGGCATTGATGTTTCTTTGCCAAGGATGATCCATTGTGGTATGGGAAGACGTCAGCCTGAGCATGTTTCGCTTTGGTTGGACCTGAACGTCTTACTTTCGGGTCGCGTTGGAGGAGGGACGAACGCGAACTTCCGGGAACACGGCCGCCAAATGGGAGGCGTAAGGAGATTGAATACGCCACGGAGCTGGAAAAATCCAACGGTAATGCCGCCAGCCGAGAAGGAGTCACCGCCTCAGCCGTCCAGTTTGGTGGGTCATCGACTGGGGGCCCAGTTTTTGCGCCCGACTGGTGTGAAGGCGACTTATGTGCGATGGTCCCCGCAAGTGTCAAAGCAAATGTATCGATAGGTACTGTATGGTACTGTACGATTGGAAGTGGCTCATGGCCTGAGGAAAGCTGCATAAATGGATGGAGTGATTACCCTACCTGAGGACTGGAAAAAGGCAAAGAGGCCTGCAATAGCCACAGCAGCGCATGGACTTGGATTTTGGAGCAGGAGTTTTGTGACTTGACACTTGACACATTGCCTATCATTGCCGCAGTGTCCAGCTTCATGCGGCACGCACAGACACTCCCCACATCCATCGTCGCAGGTATTGGAAAAATGCGTTGAAAGGAGCTGAGAAGATTCAGGCGCCTCCAGTGGCTCGAGTCCTGGGTGTCGGCATGAGGGCTTCACCTCCCCAGCCTGCCCAGACTTCTTTTTAGTAGGAGCACTTGAAACATGAGTCCGCGTGTTGTCATCGATGGTCATGCCCTTTCAATTCTATCAGTTGCCACATGTTGGATTGGCTTTAGTTGGAGGATGCGGAGACCGAGTTTCGGCTTCACTCCAATCTGGCGCCTGAGTCCTAGACCGTTTTCGTTCACAGCCGGCCAGTAAGCAGCAGCGAGGCTAGCCTACATCAAGCAGAAGAAGATTGAGAAATCACTGGAACACTGCGAGCAGGCCTTTGACTCGGAATTGACTCAGCACCGGGACCACACACTAGTTTGACATATATATATAATATATTGCATATATTATATATGTGTGTGTTCGCTGTATGTGTATATATATACATTCACACAAACACAAACACACACATATATATATATAGATAGATCTAGAGAAAGCTATTTTATGTATGTTCACATCTGCACATAGATACCTGTAAGCTCCCACGACTCAGGCTCTGAAGGAACGCCTCAAAGTGGCGGTCTCCGCCGAGCTGCGGGGCAAGGCGCGGCACGTGCCGCTGAAACGGCGGGACTGGACCGGATGCGGTTCGTGGCAGGTGCACTACAGAAGGGCTGAAGCTTTTGAAGCTGCCGGTGAGGTGCTTTTTCTTGGTGCCACGATGGATGTTGCAGAGAACATATCAGTTTAAAACATGGGGGTAGCAAACTTTACTTGTCAGTAGAAGGGGGTAGCAAGCTTAACTTTTCAGCGACATGCTAAAGACAGGGCGACTGCAACAGGCAACAGGACTTCTGCTGTCGACGTGGCTTGGTCTCAGCCATCGACAGGTCTCCAAAGCAATCGCAGCCTGCAAGCTGTCGTTGGAGGTGCGCGTGGTGTCCTTTTTCCTTGGCGTTTCAGCCCCCTTGGAAGTCCACCAGTGGCCACTCAGGTTCACCCTGAGAATGTGGATGTGCGCAAGAAGCTGCCAGCTGCTCAGGAACCGTTCTTCTTCAGCACCCTTTTGTTTTCGGGCCCTGTCTCCTCCCCACTTTGGAGGAGAAAGCGGTAGGAAGACATGGACAGTGAAGGTTTTAAGCGTGCTTTTGGCCGTGGGTTTCCCTGAGAAACTCACTTGCGGCACACAACCCTCAGAAGCCTGGCCGAGGTCAAGCTTGAAGGCACAGGAGGCCAGGGAATTGGGTGGTGCCTGTTTGCCCTTTTGGTCGCATCAAACTAGCCGTGACTATGACCATACATACTCTCAGGCTGACCAAAGAAAACGCGAGAAGGCTTTATTTTCAGGCCTACGTGGACTCTGTTCCGGCCTCATTGGAGGAGATGCGTTCAGCAGAATCATTTTGGCATTCTAATTGTTTGGATCTGTAGACTTCATTGATTTGTTCCTTTCTTTTCAACCCACATCCGCCTTAGGTGGCAGCCACTCTGACCCAAATGCAGCTCCAGTGCCCCCACCTCCTCCGCCTCCTCCTGAAGCTGATTCCTCTGATGAGGAGACCAGGGTTCACACCCGTCTCCACACAAACAAACAAACAAACAAACAAACAAACAACCAACGAAACAAACAACCACACAAACAACCACACAAACAACCACACAAACAACCACACAAACAACCACACAAACAAACAAACAAACAAACAAACAACCAACCAACCAACCAAACAAACAAACAAACAAGCAAACAAGTAGACAAGCAAACAAACAAACAGACCCTCTGATTCTGATAGACATATATAGTCACGAAATAACAGAAGGTGTCTAGAAGAATGCCCACTTGACAAGGCACATGCATGCCTGGTCCCTAGGATTCTAAGGGTTTTTTTTGGCAGTGGTTCAAAGCCAAGCTGGTATTTTGCTTACTGTATATAGACATCTCGCTGCTCCGTGTCGGATGCTCACTGCTATTCTGCATTTTGACCCGAAACCTTACATTTTCCGTCATGCATGTTAAACAAGGATGAACTGGGACACGTTGGCTACGCACTGACACAGAATCCCTGGCAAAGAGGAGCGAAGATATGGCGAGGAGGAGAACGCCCATGAGTGGTGCCGCTGATTTTGTCGCCCGACTGTGCTTTGTAGTGTAGGATTCGGACGGCGAACTGACGGCAGAGCAGCAGATGATGCTGGACCGGGGCCTGTGGATTTCTCAGCACGAGAGCATCTGCGATTTTTCTGGTCGGAGGTGAATCATCAAATCTGGTCACTAGTCTTCCAGATCCCATGGCAAGGGGACCGCTCCACATCCTCCATCCTGCTCATTTTGAGGACGGACAGAGAAGCTGCGGCGCGGCTCGTAGACAGACTTGGCCTAAGGATTCACTTGGACACCTCTGACTCCTCCAATTTTTCGTCTCAGTTCACCTCCGAAGAGTTGAGGCATTGGAATGGGAAGTTCCGGTGATCTGGTGAATCCATCCAACATGACGCTTGGATTTGAGTGAGGACGGGTTGAGTGATGAGCTGCTTTTGGATCCATGTTGGTTTGACCTGGGTCGTTGCTGCCGAAGCCATTGGTTTGCTTTCGCCCATGTTTCTTTTCTTCTAGAGCATTTGTCTGTGCAATTGCAGAACCTTTGCGTTCACAGAGCTCAACAAGCGATCAATGATCAAGCGGAGATAACCTAATTTTTGGCAAGAACGTGCGTGGTAGCCAAACGTCCGACGTGCGGAACGTGCTTCGGTCGTGATGGCTGGGAACACCGAGAAGGGATGGCCGAGTAAGATCCAAGGACCATGGGTGCAGAGGCCCGCGGCCAGGGTAAGGAGAGGAACGGTCCACGGAAGACAACTGCTCAGACAAAGTTGAAATGATCATGACTTGTTTTTGAGGGTCTGAAGCCACCATCATTATGATCATGACATGACTGATTATTGTGAATATAATCATCCAGGTCCATGACTTGTGAGACTGACAGTGCAATGGATCCTGAGCTATCTTTTCTTTTGTTAATATTGTGCGATTCGTGGCGCATCCCGGCCAGCAGTCTACACAAGATTGAGATGCCGATGCCAGTTCCAAGTTTGATCCTATAGTATTTTGTATTTGTTTCCCTTAGAGCCCAGCTCGCTTCAATGACTGTTGTGCCACTGTTGATGCGAGATGAATTCCAAACAACCATTCCTGTGAGGTCTTTTGGTCCCCTGAAATGCTGAAGGGCACCAACGTGAGACAGAGCATGCCTGCGTGATGCATGATGCACATGTCATCATGTGTCATGGAGGGGCCTGTGGAATAACGGGTTGTGTTGCAGAAGAGCGACGACCCATGTTGCAGCGTGCTGACAGTCAGCTCGTGCCTGGAGGTGCTGCAAGAGCATTTCACGGTTGTTGTGTAAATCTGGTAGAGATTTGGAGTGGCATGCGAGTTTAGGCCCGGCCCATAAGGTGGCAGGGCTGACGTTTTCAGACAAGAAAAGAGAGGGTGGGCCTCTAAGACGAAGGACTCATTTTGTAGGCTTAGTAGGCTTCTTGATTTGTGCTCACCTCAACCCATGGCGTTGCTTCAACTGTTCCGTTGAAGCTTGAGTATTGTTTAGATTTGCTACATGTCACGTCGCCCGTCTCTGGATTCCTGCAGCGCGAAAAGGGCCTCAGACACATGTGGCAACATTTCTACGAAATTACTGTAATAGGCGCAGCGAGCCTAACACATAGCTTGACAGCGAGATTTTCTCTTCAGATCCACACATTTTTGCACCAAAAGTCGCACGTTTGATTGGACGCAATTTGAATGCATGAAGTCCTACAAGAGGATCCAGGTGGTGGGCAAGGGCAGCTTTGGCTGCTGCTGGCTTGTGCAGAGTGACTCTGGAGAACGCTGCATTCTGAAGCAGATAGATGTGTCCAAGATGCCTGAGAAGCAGCGTTTGGAAGCTGCCAACGAAGTCAAGGTGCTGAGCAGGTTGCGACATCCTTACATCATCAACTACAGAGAGTCCTATGTTGATTCAGGTCTTCTTTGCATCATCATGGACTTTGCTGAGAGGGGTGATTTGTACCGGATGATTGGACGGAAACGGCAGGCAAAGTCTCTGTTTGCAGAAGCTTTGGTGCTGAGGTGGTTCACCCAGATTGCACTGGCCTTGAAGCACATCCATGATCGACACATCCTTCATCGGGATCTGAAAACTCAGAACATTTTCTTGGCAGGGCCAGGTGATGGAATGGTGAAGGTCGGGGACTTTGGCATTGCTCGGGTCTTGCGGCACACCCAAGACTGCGCCCGGACAGCTATTGGGACTCCATACTATTTGTCGCCGGAAATCTGCCAGGAGCGGCCTTACAGCTATAAATCTGATGTGTGGTCCTTGGGTTGTGTGCTCTATGAACTTGCAACCCTTCGTCATGCTTTCGATGCAGAGTCAATGCAAGGCCTTGTTCTGAAGATTTTGCGTGGTGTTCCGCCGCAAGTACCTGCGAGCTTCTCCGCGGAGCTGCGAAGTCTCATTGCGGAGATGCTCACCAAGGACCCCAATTGCAGGCCCTCTGTGAATGAGTTGCTGCATCGGCCTACGGTGAAAGCAATGATCAGACAACTACTTTGGGAGATTGAGAAGGATCAAAGGGATCAGAGGCCAACTGATCAAGGACAGTCAGTTGAGTCATGTCAGTCAGTGTCCACCAATGAACGGAAGTGCTTGTGTCACCTTTGGAATTGGCCTTGGCTACCTAATGAGGAGTAGGAAGTTTGTTTTGATGACGCAACCGTGGCCGCCGTCACCGCGGTCCGCCCGCCTTGTGAGGATATGGCGCCGGCAGATGTGTAAGTCCGCCTGCCAAGGCCTATCAGAAAAAGAGACTTCAGATTTCAAGGAGCACTTTCTTCAAGTGGTTTTGAGATGTTTTGAGAAACCGACTTCATGATCCATTCTTGCAAGATCGATTCTTTCACGCAGTGTAGAAGGACTTGGAGGTGGAGTTGACGTGTCCACCTTTTTCCAAGACCTTTGGTGTGTGGATCCCTCAAAGCCACCTCAGAGGGAATTTTTGTGAGCGCCTTTGGGTGAGATGACGGCGCCAGAAATCCACAACTCTTCACTTCGTTTCGCATTTTAGACAGACTCGGACATAGCTAGCTTGCTCTTGTAGCAAATTGGACGTTCTGCTGTTGTAGTCACTTTGAAGGCAACGGTTCCACGCAACAGCACACCACCGAAAAGCTCGAGGCAGGGTTCTGAGCTTGAATGCGTCCAATGTCCTCTTCAGAGCCACTCAGGACAGTTACAGCAGATGGTCAGGAAGCAAGACGCCTCAAAAGACAGCCGCAAGCTGCGAAGAGCAAGTTTGTAAGCAGCTTGGCGAGATTTGTGTGCCTGTCAAGGCTAGAAAGGAACGGATAGTCGCTTCGAACATTCCTGCTTTGACCCTTCAAAGACAGGGGCTGCGGGGTCTTTCTTTCTGCTGCATGCACAAGTTTGGCGCTTGATCAAGCATGTTGCAGCCTGGTGCAGCCTCCTTCTTGCTCAGGACCTCGATCTGCATCGCGTGCAAGTCATGCAGAGAGTGCTTCCGACGGCTCACGCTCGCCCCGGGCCAAGCGCGCAGGGCTCAGACGCTCGATGTCCATTTGTATCCACTACTGTGTCCATTTGTGTCCATATGCGGGAACAATAGGTTTGTGTGGTAACAATAGGTTTGTTTGGCCGAACCCATTGGTTTACGCGGTAACACTAGGAAATGTCATGAAATAAAAGCAATATCATTAAATAACATAGACATTTCTACAATGATTTCATGACATTTCTACCATGATCCATCCCCCGACCCGCAATTCCGATGCCCTTTAAGGAAGCAGCGCCGTTGGCCCACCACACCATCTCGCTGCAAGCCCCGGGTGTGCGGTTGCATCTTGCCTTCAGTTGGCGCAGTCCCATGTATATTTCTGCACCAGACGTGGAGCATTCGGGTGGGCACCGCGGTCTACGGGCCGTCGCTTGGGGCCGTCTGCTGAGGACTTATCACGTGAGCCTCCAGGCCTTGGAAGAACCGTTTTTTCTAAGTCTTCATTGACCAATAGGTCCAATAGGTCCAACATAGACCAATAACGGTCCAGTAGGGTCCAACATGCAGGGTTTTGCATTGACCAATAGGTCCTGCCTGGGTTTTCACTTGCTTGAGGTGGGCGCAGTCCTAACACTCAGCCTCGGACTCCTGAGAATCAGCCTGAGAACCTTGATGGCCCTTCATTTCCTTCAGTTTCCACTTCAAATTGCATCATTTGCTTTGGTTTAAGTGGTGCATTGGGTGGTTTTGACATTTGCTTCGAGTGAGTTTACAGTAGCTCCTATAAGGAGCTGCACTGCTCGCCCAAAAGGGGATCAACGCAAGGCACTGCTCTTCGCAAGGGGTTCTTCATTAAGTTTCATCTGGAATGTGTGCAAACAGCCTGGTTTCCGCTTCAGCGGGAATTCGTGCTTGCTTTGTTGTTTTTTTGTTCCGCTTCAGCAGCACGCAGTGGTTTTTTGATTTGAAACCAGGAGCTGATTCGAACTTTGGAAGAGGGGCGTGGAGCTGATTCAAACCATGCACACCTATGTCGAAATTGGCAGAATGAGGTTGGGATGCAAGCTGTCGATGATCACGAAGGCTCGAGCTGATCACAAAGGCCGTGCAGCATCAAGGGCCGGGTGAGAATAGCCGAGGAAGAATCGGAGCCCACTGATGAAGGCGATGGACTGAAAGTTGCATTTCAATGTGTTGCCAAGCAACCAGACACAGAAAGAGAGAGAGAGAGAGAGAGGAGAGGAGAGTAGAGAGTATATTAGAGTAGGGAGTAGAGAGTGAGGGGTTGACACCCAGGCTCCCGCCCCTGCTTCTTGCATCCTGGTGGGGAAGAAATCAAGCTGCTCGTGGCCCAGCATTGCCGAAGATGGGAAAACCACCGAACACGTCGTCGCTGAGGCCGGTCACTGAGACCGACTCCTTGCCCTACCGAATAGAGGTGCAGAACCACAGCACCCACCAATCGAGAAGAAAGACGAGTGTTTTGGCCGGTGCGATGTTTTTGGGGTCCCGTGAGTTGGGCTTCAGATGCTTCAGGCGCTCAGGCTGTATTTGGAGAAGGAGCTCGGAATCATGGAGTTTCTGCTTGCCTACAAGCATCTTGCAGAAAGCCAGCAAGCTCAGCAGCTTCCCAGAACCATCGTGCTCGTGCCGCTCGTGCCATGTTTTGCCATGCAGCTTGTGTTCCAAATTGAGGTGCAAAAAGTGATGCTGTGGCTGCGAAGGTGCCTGCGAAGTGATGGGGTTTGCAAAGGTGTCTCCCACCGTGGGGGCTGTAACCTTGTGGAAGGAGCTCAAAGCCATCGATGTTCATTCCTTCCTCTCCAGCAAGGCCCTGCTGAGGTTCATCAAGGAGATGATGCCAATCATGAGTGGGGACATATAGCATTCGCATATGCAAACATGCACATCGTCGAAAGGCTATCAGCTTTCTGTGGAAATCTCAGTCGGCTGCTGCAAGAACCGAATGCCTCCTAGTGGTTCAACGCCGCCAAACGTGCACAAGGGGCCAAACGAGGGATCCATAGCGATCCACAGCCTAAGGCCTTTGGTGACGCAGCTCATTGTTTGCGAGGACTCGTTTTACTGAGGCATGGTTGGCCGGATTCATTTGCGGGGAGCCATGGCCAGCGCGGGAATTCTTGCAATGCACGCATTGAGGAAGTCAATTCAGGATGCATGAGTCTCCCACAGAGCAACCAAAGCGCACTGAAAGGGTCCAAGTTTTCCAGGCTTCATCGATGTGTTCCTGGAAGCTACTAGTAACAAGGGCATTGCTACTAGTAACAAGGTGCCTTACTACTATAGTATAGTAGCTAGAAGCTACTAGGAACAAGGGCATTGCTACTAGTAACAAGGTTCCTGGAATTCAATTGAAGGATCAGCAGAGATTCGCCGCTGGAGCGCAGATTGGGAGCTCGTCGGGGCGATCTTCGCATTTGGCCAAGCCTTGAAGGGAGCTTTCTGGCTGGCTGGGTTTGCCACATGCCTGCTTCTCATGCGACAGTCATGTGGATCTCCACTGAAGGAGGTGCGGAAAGAAAAGGATGCTGCGGACAGCTGCATGGAACATCATGGAACAATGATTTGTTTTTGTGTGTGTGAGTGCGCGTTTTGCTTGGCTGATTCATTCTATCCCCTGTCGTCATGCGGGACAATCCTTACAACATCGCATCAAGTTTCTACCCTGAGAATCGGATCTGCAAAATCGTGATGAGGGAGTCAAAACATGAAGAAATTACTGTATGTCTCAAATCTTGCCAGCTTGACCTCAGCCACCAGAGCGTTCCCCCCCCACACATGCATACAACTGCAGAATGGCGCATGTAGCTACCACCCATCGAGTATTCCAGTATTCCTGAGCACTGGCCATGGAGGCCGCTTTCTTGGAAAAGTTTTCACCCCTTCTGGATGAGCTAAGGGAGGGCAGCTTCGTAGCGTTGATCACCATGACCGGCTCATGCTGCCCCGTGACCACCGCTCATTACATGGCCTTCGAATGTTCTCGCCAACTGTTGATGGGCGACGGCCTCACACGCCCCACGAGGGAGCAGTTTGCTGAGGTGCTCGGGTTACTCTCCTTGAATGGTGATCGGCACGTGGGTGAAAAGCTGCACGCAAAGGGAATGCCGTCCATCCCTTATGTGGACAGAGCTCAGCTGGTGGATATGGCCACTGCAGATGTGCCATGGATGAGTTTCAATCCCACTCGTGAGCACATTGCAGCTGACTGGATGCAGCCAAGATGGCCCACGTTGAGATTCATCCGGTATGCCCTGAATGGGGCGGATGACGTCTTCAAATATCAGAAGTGGCGCTCCTCAGCCCCAGACCAGCGCTTTGTGACCATGGGAAGGCCGGGATTCACGGAGAAGGTGATCTTGGGTGCCAAAAGGCATGGCGTCGATTTGGACCAAGGGTACTTCATCGTTGGCCCTGAGCTACCGGACATTTCTTCCACTGCGGTACGCCGGGCCCTCCAAGAGGGAGACGGACAGGCTTTGGAAGGCCTACTGCACCCGAGTGTTGCCGCATGGCTGTTGAAGTCTGGTATTTATGGTGGCACAGGCCACAGAAAGATGTGAGACTCTCTTTTCATTCGGTTGGATTCGGGGAGCATAGCTTTGCCTTTGAGGGGCAGTCTAGAGTCTAGGAAGTGTGCAGTGTACAGTGCTGACAGCCTGGAAGTTCTTGTTTGCCCAAAATGATCTTTGTTTAATTCAAGTCTCATTATCATGTTTTCATGACTTGCGACTTGCGACTTGCTAAGGTGGTGTTCTGCTAGAACATTCCACTGATTCCCCTGTCGGTAGGCTTTGCTCCGGTACCTGTGCTGGAGGCAACACGAGGGAGCAAACGATTCCCACCAGCACGATTCCGGCCGAGTCGTTGCCCGGTAGTCCTATTCAGCTGTTTTGGCTCCGCCTCCTACCAGGTGTGTATCTCGATTGTGCCAGGAATGGACCGCCAAATATGTGGGATGTTAGAACAGATAATGCGAGCCATGAAATGGTGGGGACCACCATTGAAGCATGTCTCAGCAACTTCTTGGCACTTGGGTCCCTTAAGTCCCCAAGATGTTCGATCGTAAGACCCCTTCGATCAAGCGTTTTTCTGGGCCCGGCTTGCTTTCTGGGGAACCTGCAGTATGCCACCCTCGTCACGGACTCAGCGTGGAGCCTTGACTGCGTCAAGAATGGGACTTGGAAGAATCCGTTCCATGCTGTCGAAAAGCAGAACCCACCACCTCCCCCCCTTCGACAAACACCAGTGGACAAAAAAAATATATCGGGGCCAGTATGGGAATGGATTCTTCATCGGGGCCAGTTACATAATTGCAAGAGAGAGAGAGAGAGAGAGATAGAGAGAGTGAGTGAGTGAGTGAGTGAGTAGGAGGCATGAAACATTCCACTTGGAGCCGAAGCTTGCAGCTCATATGATTTGATATGCCTCGAGCAAAGGAACGAAGCGAAAGAGGACAAGGACATTGTGGGCATGTGTGCATCAAGCATGGACACGGATTCTGAACACAAAGACCGCCAGTAGAGGACTACCCTGGGCAGGGCACCACAGAAGGAGAAGAGAAAGAGAAAGAAAGTCCTGCTGGCCAATGCGAAGGCGCATTTTTTTATTCTCTCTCTCTCTCTCGCTCATTGGTTGAAGCTTCCCCGAAGTCTTCGATTCGTACATATAGTCTACATATTATATATATATATATATATGTGTGTGTGTGTGCAGCGTGCAGCGCCTAAAAGTGTCAACATATATTTACCATTTCATCATTTCATTTCATCATATTTCTTCAAGCTCCAGCCTGCTCTCTGTGGTTTGGTATTTTGCCCGTGTCTCATATGCAAGGGCCGCTTTCGAAGGAAAACACCATGGCGTCCGACGTTTTCCCAGACTGCCCTGGCCTTGACGATTCTTCCTCTGTGACCAGGTGCTGAAAGCTCCCAAACTGGCCCTAAAGATCCGCCAGCCGCCGCTGGGAAGCAAAGGGCGGGTCCCGGAAGCATTGCCAGGCCCTCCGGAAGCACATCATGCATAAATAAATGTCCCAGACACACGCACAGATATAATCATACTAATATAAAACATAAATCCCTTCCATCTATCAAAAACACGGGCCTCTCCCCCTCATAAGTAAGGGCATGCATCGTTTTTTAATGGGGGGTCCCCCACATAGGCAGACTCGCAAAGATGGACACCTGGGAAGAGCTTCAAAACCCAACAGTTGCCCAGGCCACTTTAGAGAGACTCTATTGAACTCGTATCAAACATTGAAAAAACCTCCAGATCGAGGGTATTTTTTCCTTTTCCCTTTACACACCCTTGAGTTAAATAGATTCAACTAGTGATTCTTTGATATTCTTTGCTTGCAAACTTTATTTACATCAGACTAACAACTACAGATTTCGATACATGATGTCGCCGTGCCATGCGATTTGCGAGGCCTCGGTGGAAATCACGTTTGTGTGGCTCCGTGCCATTGGGGAAGAGTGCATGTGTAAATGCGGCGTGTCGCTAGTGAGGGGCACCATCGGTGGTGATTCTAGTGGGTGGGTACCTCATAATAGTGTTTAATCACGAAAGGTAGCCTGGTAAGGGCTAGCTTGAGTTTGCTTTGCGAAGCAACTGGGTAGCTTCAATAGCCTGCTCGGGAAAAAATACATCAATTCTATTGACCCCCCTCCCATGTGATGAATAATTGCTTAATCAATTATTTTGGTGAACCCCCCCCTCGCCAGCACCACTAGCATCACTCAATCACTCACCTACTCTCTGCAAAGCCGTGTGGACAAACCTCACCACACCACATGCTCTAAGCAACCTGTCCTTGCGACCCAGGTCACTCTTATGCGGAGCGCGTGCGTGACGTACGACCGAATGTGGCACCTTACACACCACAGCTCTCACATACACCAGTATTGACAAGCCTCCACGTGTGCCACACCACACCATGTGTGTGTAGTCCCAAGCACCAATTCCACAAATAAACGCTACCTACCTAACTCAAACAAAAAGGAACATGTCGGGTTACCTTTGTTTTTACGTGACCGTCTTTCTATTCTGCTACTAAGCCTCGGCCAAAGTCATGTTGGGGCGTGCTTTACTTGAGACAGGGAAACACGAAAGGTAGAGAGGTACCAGGAGTATAACAGAGGTATATAGTATGAGTGTGGTGTGTGAAAAATGGGGCGTATGTCGGGGAGGAGGGGTTGCTACAACATCTGGTGTGGTGTGGCGCACGTGGAGGCTTGTCAATACTGGATAATACTGGTGTATGTGAGAGCTGTGGTGCCAAGCTGTGCTGCGGAAGCGCCGTCGTATGTCACGTACGCGTTCCGCATAAGTGACCTGGCTCGCGGGGAGAGGTTGCTAGAGCATGCTGCACCATGCCACTTGTCTGAACAAAGCTGCAAAACGTCAATGAATATACACTTAAGGTGCACGTTACGTGAACGCCACTTTGCAGAGATACGTTTGGTGCGTGGCTTTTGGTGTGTGAAAGAAAGGGCGTATGTCGGAGAGGAGGGGTTGCTACAACATTCAGACACAAGGCTCCACAAAAAGGTGTTTATATAGAGTTTTGAACCCTGATCCATCATAACTTCCGGGCCTTGTGTGAACCTCTACAAAACGCCGCGAAGCGCAACGTGAGCAGCTCAGGTGGTTGGTGCGAACCTGAGCATGACAGTTTCCGAGTGTGCCTGCCAGCACTACCAGCGGATTGGATTCGGAGATGATGTTCCATCGAAAGTGGGTAAGCTTGAGAGACGGGTACGCCACAAACAACCAAGGACGTTTCGACACAAGGGATCAACTTCAGCGTAGCGGCTTCGTTCGGTGTTTCTGGAGTCTACTCGGGCCTTTCTCAGGAGAAGATACTTTCAAAGAAGAAAACTTGGGAGTTGAGGCACGGAGATCCTCTCGCAAAGCAACAGCTGGGCGTGCAGTAGAATAGGGAGACCACGCCCTGACGCCCCATGACGCCCCAAAAGCAGCTGTCCGAACATGAATGCACGAGGTGACATTTCATGGAGAGAGAGTCCAATGGGACACGGACAAGACACCGATCGAGCGTTTGGCCAGGTCGAGGCCGACAAACATCCGAGGTTGCATCGGTCTCATCCCAGTCTCCCTGGCGTTTATCGGTGAGGATTTGGTTTGTGCAGGCTTTTGTTCACATGACTGTGTGTGTGGGCGTTCTTTTTTCGACTTTTGCGGTGTTGGCAAGTGGGGGCCGTGGAGCTTTTGCTCAGCATCAAGGGCGTGGGGGTGCTGAGCAAGCGCTCCGTATGGCGGTCGTGGGCGTATGGAGAGCAGAAGTGCCCATCGTCAGTGCCTCGCCTCGGACGGGCATAGCCTCAGAAGGGCATATATGGATATGTGGGGACGGTGGGGAGGGCAAGGACTATATGCACTTCAAGTCACTGCACAAAGTCCTCCAATTCCAAGGTGATGTGCTGAGAAGCTCTGACTTGGCTGGCTCAAATGCCCCACGGTCGCAGCGCTTGATGCCCTTAAAGCGTCAACTTGCCGCCACGGCCGCCACAGTTGCAGCACTCGCATGGCCAATGCGCAGCACTCGCCACGGTCGCAAGGCAGCGGGACGGCGGCGTTTGTACGCCAGCAGTTTAATAAGAACAGGCAACCCCGACAATACAGTTAATGCACGACAGTTTTAATTAGATGTTTTTGGAACCACTGCATACAACATTCAACATCCCAATGACCTACGCTGACTTCTCAGGTTCGACTCCAAGCTGCCGGACTTGCAACTCCAGGACGGGCGGGGGAGATCGTGGCCAAAACCATGTGCTCCGACTGCATGCTACAGCCTACAGCATTGCACACATCAAAGAAAGCAAAGGAGGGGAACTGCAGCACCACACCTTTGGATCTTGGAATTTGGGAATTTTTTGGATGCTTTAAGGATTCAGGATGCTTTAAGGATGCTTTAAGGATGCTCGTCGCCCCCTGTTTCACCTGCTTTCTCGTTCGTCCAGAAGATCGTCGAGTTCCACAGGCACCGCTGATGCGGTCGGGCCGGTGCGCTTTGAGCTGGTTGGTGGGCCTGACGATGCCTCGGGAGATGTGCTTCTGTGACGTGACTCAACTCTAGGATCTGATGAGCACAAATAGATTGACACTAATGAGCTATGAGTCATACGTTCCAAGTCATTTGGGTCATTATTCTGATTGTCACGAGTCACGGGGTCTTTTTCAATCTTTTTCATACATCATGGTTGGCAGCACCTTGTCAGCCTTGTCACTTGAGCTGCCCATGTTTCTTGCCTAGGTACTTGCCCGACATTGACTTTCAATCGTCGTCCATCCCAAGCTCCCAATACCCAAACTTGGTAGCTGCAGGCTTCGAGCTCGGGCCCCAGTCGTTTTGGTCCAGACACCAGTGACACTGCGCCTGGACGTCCCGAGCTTCGCTGGGTCCCTTTGTGAGTGAATTGCAGTCAGATTTGATGTGCAAGGCTTTGGAGCTGCTCCCTGGCGGAGGATGATGTGAAGACGGGCTTTGCAGAGCTCTTGCGTTCAATTGAGATGTGGTTGAGGAGGAAAGGTAGCCAGAGAGTTGTTCTGATTGGTGAGGGCTTTGGAGGCCTCCTGGCCTTGGCGCTGGCCTTCCGCACTGGCCGAAGCCTGAAGGGGTTGATGATGGTCAACCCGGCAACAGGTTTGGTGCAGCAGCCTTGGAGACAGTTGCGCCCGGGTTTACCTGTGGTGCCATTGTCAGAGCTCCTGGCCCTGGCGCCTGAGACCGCGACGGTCTCTGAAGCCATCACTGGAACTTTGGGACTTCGTTCCGCCTCAGCGGCTGCTCGTGCTGGAACTCTCCAATTTCGCTTGAAGGCGTGGTTGCGTGATGGCTGGGAGCTGGTCTCTTCTGAGCTTCGCAGACCACCGGAGCGGAACCCCCTGCCCGCGACGGTACTGGCCTTCTCCGATGATGTACTGTTACCTTCCAAAGACGAAGGCAACATGTTGAAGCCCGCTCTCCAGGAGCGTTGCTTGATCAACAGGCTACAGGTGAAGGAACTGGAGAGCAAGAGCCACGAACCTTTGGTGGGAGACATCGACTTAGTGGCCATCTTGAAGGAGTCTCCAATTTTCCAAGCACCAAAGGATCCAGTCTCAGACTTCAAGTTCCCCTCCATGGCCGAGCTAGAAGAAGGCTCGAAGGATGTTGAGCGTTTGGCATCTGTGGTCTCCCCGGTCTTTTGCAGCTTTAGCGCCGCTTCTCCATCGCAGAGAGTTTTTGGACTAGAGGGAGTCCCTACTCCAGCAGATGTGGGAGAGCGCCCTGCAACTTGGCATATATATATGGATCGGAGAAATCACGAAGACCCATGAAGACCTCCAATCAGCACAGATGACTTGCATGGATCCCAATTGGAGCAATCACATGTCTCACACCCGCACAACTCGCCATGAATGGCGGTAGATCAGCAGATCCGATGCCAAGTCACAGATTCAGCTGTTTCTTCCATCTTGGCCGACCAAGGTGCTGCTGGTGGGCAATCATCAGCTGGCAGGAGCAGATCTGGGTCCCTTGTGCGAGAATTCCTGGTCGATCGGGGGGTTCTGACCCGTGGCCTCGCCTATCCTGGAGCCATGCGCACGCGGGAGGGTCAAGGCCCTCCTCAGTTCCAGCGCTTCGGCGCGGTGCCGGTTTCGCCTCGCAACATCTTCAAGCTCCTGCAGCAAGGCGCGGGACATGAAGGAATCAAACACCTTTAAACCAGATCTGGCTGTGAGGGGAGTGACGCCCACCGGCCTGTCATGACCCACACTCATGAAGACCTATTCAATAATCTATTCATGTGATTTTGAGACCCATGGCATTGGTTTTGCATTGCCCTTGCCTTGTTGATGCATTTGTTTATGTTTTGGCAGCGTCGTCAGAACTAGCCTTAATATACATAATAATAAGCATAGCTGAAGCGTGCTCTTCAGCCCAGTGCAGACCTTACGCTTCTCAAGCTTTGTATCCGAGTCCTCCTTGCGCTCACATGTTTGGAAGGTGGCTTCGAACCACCACCCCAGCTGAATAGATAAAAACCAAGATCACCAAGAGTGTAGTACCAGGACTGGCACTTACTGTATATAATTCTTTTGATTTTTGAGGTGACCAGAGCAAGTTGCTGGACCAAGTTGCTTTCATATCCACATGAAAGATCTGAGTACTCTCTTAAATTAGCTTGATATTTATGATATTTCTATATGTCACACCGGTACTCACTTACAGTGTTTGCGAGCTTTTCCCTCCACCTGACGGTTGCGTGACGGCACGCGGAAAACGCACCACGCGTGATCGCATGCGGAACACGCTGGGCTCTGGAGGTGAGATGGTGCTCCTTTTTCCCGGCGGCATCCGGGAGGCCTTGCACGGCCCCGGTGAGGAATACCAGCGACTGGTTGGTGCGTGTTTTTTCTTTTTTGTGGGGTGTGTATGGAACGAGGGAGACCGCCCTGGCAACGACCCCGGACCCGCCTGAAAAAGGAAAAGATCTCCTCCAAGCTATATATTTGTTTTGGCGGCCTCCCTATAAAATACACACTCATTTTCTTTGTGCAGTGGTTTCAGGGAGTAGATGGCACTGGCACCCTAAGATAACTTGCAGATGATGGGGGTACACATAAACCACCGAACTTGGGGATTGTGCCATCGACTCTCAATCCACTTTTTTTTTCAACCCTGTTTAGGAATGACGCCCCCAGTTGACGAATACTTTGTGCGAAAAAACGCATCATCCACCTGGACCAGGCTGTTTTGGCCCAACAAGACGGACTTTGTCCGGGTTGCTGCACGCTTCAATGCCGTCGTGGTGCCATTTGGTGGGATTGGAGCGGATGACAGCGCGCAGGTGGGAAAAACCGGGGCAATGCCCAGTGGGGTACGCATTGACATGTGGTGGGTGGACACAGAAGGACCCTGATTGACCAAACAAAGAGCAGAACAGACTATGAAGGAGGTCAACCTCCCAGGGATTAGAGGTCCGGGCTTTTGACCCACAGCCAGGGCATCGCTACAAGTAAAAAGGGCATTACTACTACTAGTAACAAGGGCATCGCTACTCGTAGCGTCTTGCTACTAGTAGTAATGCACTTCTTGTTACGAGTAGTGATGCCCTTGGTACGACTAGTGACCAAAAAAAAGAAAAACTTCAATCTGTTGGCAGCTTTAGCAGCTCACAGGTGCTCGCCAACCTGGGCGACCTGCGCCAGCAGGCCGAGAAGGTCGTACCCTGGATGGCGAGAAGTCAGAAGCGTTCGGGCGGGCTGATGCCTGTGTCCGAGTCGTTGGATTCCAAGCTGCAAAGGGTCATTCAGGCTCATGCAGGCTGTTGGAGTGCAAGCCTTTTGAGTTTGGGATTGCTTGGGCAAGTCGTGCCCCATAAGCGGAATTGTGTATTCATTGGGGCCTGCTAAGGCTTGCAACATGAGCCATGTGATTTTTGATGCAGCCGAGGAGGGTGGCCTGGGCTTCCCTCTCATTGCCCCAAAGGTAAGTTCATCACTCTTCGCGACCGAAAGCGAATCTGGCTTTGGAGATCGCTTCTATTTCAGCTCCTTGATGAGACCGAAACAGGAGATTTTTCATCTACCTTTTGGTGTGCCTGATGTGTTTGGGGGATCTGTAGGTGGAACCCACCTGTGCCATCCTACGGCATCAACGGTGGGGGCGTTCGGCTTTCGCTGTGCGCTCGGAGGCTTTGGGAAGCCCTTCGATCTTAAAGAGGTCAACCCCAAGGAGGGACGATGAAGGGAGATCACGACTCGGCTCCAACGGTTGGCTTGGAAGAGTAGATCTTGATTTCTGACATAGGAATCATAGGATGCGTCAATATTTGTATCGCTATATATTATATAACACATGGTATAGCTATCCAGATAAGCATCAAAAGGCTGATTTGATGCGGGTTCCACCACGCGCCGCATGCCACGTCTTCCGACCGGTCGACCGGTCCGGGTGAGTTGCGAGCGTCCGAGTGAAGCGCAGCTGACTATGCTGAGAACATGCCATAGGACCATGCTAAGACTATGATACTATGCAAGTAGTTATGTACGTTTACGCCATACAAGATTTCGAACAAGTGCTTTTTCTTTTTTTTGGGGTGGTTTTGTGTCCTATATAGCATGATGCTATGTTTGCACCCATGGAGAGTTGGCTTCCAGGACAGGGATGCTTGTGCCCAAGTGTACAGCAACATTCGTGCAGCTGTGGAGCAGGACATGCTGGGGTGAACATGATTTTGGCATCACATTGCAATGGTAATTCACAGTTTAGCCGCACTGATTAGGTGTTGCTCTTACGCGTCCCGCTGATGCAAAGCAGACATGCAGAAATGCCCCTTGGCAGGAAATGGCCTGGCTGCAAAAGGCACGTGAGCAGGACCATGTAGCAACTCTATGTTGCAAACATGGCCACTCCAGTCATATCCAAGTATATCCAAGTATCATTGCACAGATTTCAAAAGTAACAGCATCAGGACACCTACCATGTCCACCCAACCTCCCAAACTGGCATTGCTTGGAGGATCCTTACCGGGACTTTGTCAAACGACAGCTTTATGAGCGAGTGGCTGCCTTGGAGGGGCCAGTGCGACGAATCCCAGACGGGCCACTGGAAGGCAGGGACTTTCCAGTGCAAGCGGCTTGCACACCTGCGGGGCTCACCTGCGGGGCTCCATGGTTTTGGGATGTTTTGGGTGTTCACTCAGATGAGTCACTGGGTGTACCAGGGTCTCATAAAGAGTCATGGTGAACACCCTGGCGTGCACGCCAGGGATGATCATGACACAGGGGACTCACTACTTGATGTGCAGGTGAGCTTGTGCAGAGCTACGCCAAGCGAGCACCGTCCTTCGACCTCAACCTGGTGCCACCCTTGACTGTGCGGCCTGAACCTGCGATTGAGCCATGAATTCTGGGCCTGCCGTCGGGAACGCTGTTGTAGCTTGAGTGACGCATGGGGATGCTTGTAGCAGTTGAAGTGCAACCATTTTCAGTGGCCGGGACGTGGCACAACTAGCCCCAAGGGATGAAGAGCAGCAAGCTGCTGGACTCGTGTTGTCAAATGAACAGTACTGAACTTCTCATGTTTTTTGCTTCTTTCGCTTCGCCTTGATGTGTGGTCTGGTTGCTGAAAGCGCAGATTCCACTTGTGGGGCTAGCTGTGTGGTCTAGATCTTCCACCGGCCCTACTTTTCGTCACCCTACTTGTGGCCTACAAGTCGCTACCAGGGCTGTGAGTGGTCTGACGAACGTGGTCCAGTGTCTGGTCTAGTGCCATTTCCTGCTTGCCTTTGCACCAGTCACTGCCAGGTGAGCTCCAATAAAGTCGTGGCACGAGCTGAGCTCTCACGGTGCATTTACATGGGTCATTACATCAAAGGACGTCTCTTGGCCGCCCTTGGCCCCCCCAAAGCCGCTGGTTTTTCGGGTGCCCAAATCTCGGTCTCAAAGAGGTAGGCATCCTGGAGTCGCCATTGCCGGTTGCGCTAAGGATGGCGCATGACCAGCGCAGTTCCCAAAAGAACTCTGAAGGGCTCAGAGTCGAAGCATCAATGTCAGGGACTTATTTCTGCTGGCGTCTGGACTTCTGCGTCCTTTAACTTTGGCTATTTTTGGCTAGACTCCAGCGAAGTAGAAGATCCCCCCATGTTTACAAGGAGATACCATGTATTGTGTGGTGGGTGCACCGCGAGTGGACTGCGGTGCACCAGACCTGCTGCTATGTTGGTACTTCGTTCCGAGCATCCTCCTTGGAATGGTTACAATTCGCCCAAAAGCCTTACAGGAGACATCCGAAGCAGTTTTTTTTCCGAACTGCCCACTGAGTGGGTGTGGAGCTTTTGACCAATCGGACGACGAACATCCCGGGGCTTTGATGCGAAACCGCTGACATCTCCCGCCCAGGTACGGCGAAAGATGTCAACAAAATTGGCTACACGCGGTGCGAGACTTGGATATCTTGGATGGTCGACAGTGTTTGAAAGGAAAAAGGAGGCCAAGTAGGAAGGAACTGCAGGAAGGTACTGGTAGAGAACACCCACACAGCCCTTCAAACATGCACAGATAGATGATGATAAGATGTATGTGCCATTCTTGCCAGTTTGTCCGCAGGCTTTATGCTTGGGTTTTACGGAATGTGGTCGCGTGCTTGGTTGGCTGCGAGCCCGACAAATCCGGTTCTTGAAGAGCTTTGTCAGAACAAATGCCTGACAAATCATTGGATTGTTTCCATTTTGGTGGCATGGCAGATGAGACTAACTGCTCTTTCTCTCACTTGCAGGTAGTTCAGAACAGATTCTTTTTAGTTGTTTGATGTTGTTTGATTATTTTGATGCACGTAGGTCCGTACTGCTCAATACAACAGTACTGTAGGTCTGTACGATTCCATAGGTGCTGCTCCTGCGCAATGAGGCAACCCTGTTCTGTTTGTCAAGCGGATCCACTCACTTTTTGCTGGTGTCATGTCGCTTGTATGGTAAGATCGCACGTCAACTATCGGGTTCTGAATACATTGCGAAGGCCCCCTTCAAGAAGATACATGATAAACATGATATAAAATGCATTGTCGAAGAAATAGGGAACTTATATAATACTTTTGAAAAGGGGAACCTGTATTTATCTTTGTGTTATTTTGTTGTAGTTGTCGTGTGCATTGAAAACATACTTGCCTCTCACAGCCAGGACCACCCACATTGCACACCACGGCTTCGCAGCTGAGGTAAAATACAAAAGGCCGCGAGAAATAACGCCAAGGATTGGCCACAGCCTCAACAGCCCCAGTGACATGAGGAAACAGACATAAGAATGGATGGAATAGAAGACAACAATCATATCTTTGGTCACCTTTGATAAGGCCTCCCTTGAGGGGGCCTTGTTGAAGGGGTCCAAACAAAATTTGGTGTTTCTTTCTTATCCTTTCACACCAGCAATTTGACAATTCCTCACATCAATGACATGCGCCACCGTCTTTTTTCATGTCGCCAGCGGTGGGTCCCTGGGTGGAGTCGTCGAGAGTTTCACACCGTGGTTCTGCGGGCGAGCTCGTTCGTCCGAGGATGCGTGGTGTGGACCAAGATCAGTCCTTAAGGTGCCCAGTCCCAGGCAGCATTGAAGGCGTTCAGTGCCTGCGACCTGGGTCGCACGGCTCCGCCAGCCTCAACGGCCGAGGCGGAGCAGCTTGGCCGAGCTCCGTGTGATGGGGGTCTGTGATGCTGAGTGACCCCGCGTCCATCACCGGAAGCCAATGAATTGGCTGCACCAATGAATTGGCAGGCGCCGCTAGGTGAGCATTGATCAATTCAGCTGGAATCCATACTATATAGCTGCGTTCTCTGAGCATTTGCGCAATCAGGGTGTGAGATCTGCAAGCCAGGGTGATGTTGGTGAATCATACCAGGTTGACGACCAAGTGCAGTGCCGTTGTTTCTCTAGAAAAAGAAGATGAGTGAGGCAATAGACATGTGACTCATGGGGCAGATGGACATCCAATGCACGTTGTTTTCCCACTCGCAGCTGCTGTACTGATTGCATGCTGCCGAACAAAGCGTGCACAGCAGTCACTCAGAACTTACTTTCTTGCTATGTCTCAGGTCATGGGACCTGCACAATTGGCAAGATTCATGTGATTTAACGTGAGCACGAGCTATTTTGTCTGCAATCATTTGGCACAGGCCTGTGTGGTAGAGTTCTTGGCATGACCTTCAGAACATCCAGAGGATTACTGGAACTTCCTTAAGCCGAAAGGCCCCCGCATCGATGTTTTTGCTGTTTGCAACCAAACTTTGCGCATCGCGACACGCGCGATGTCTTCGCCCACTCAGCGAACTCACCAAGAATTCAGCTTCTTCTTGCACCCCTATTTTGTCCTTCTATGATCTTCTATATTGGCCATCCAGATAATATATATATATATATAGATGGTCAGCACACCCTTTTCTGCCGTTTTGTCGAAGTCCCAGGCACAAGTCAAAGCCATTATTGCAGCATACTTCTTGTCAAACAACCTGTTCTCATGTTCTCCGCCCATGGCTATCTGGCGTTGTTCCCTTTCACACACGCCTTCGCAGCAAGCTGCCTGGAGCCATATCTGCGAAAGTGTGGAGGTTAGTGGGTCAAAGGAAATCTAGTTGTGCAGCGGATGCCGCAGAATGCTTATTCATTCATGTCCCCAGTCTAGAAATCATGGGCTCGAAGTTGTTTTGATGTGTCTTCAACTGCTGTCTGTGTGAATGAGGAGCCATTGGAGGAGCCCCCTCACCACGAATTCTTTGGAGGAAGATCTGTGGAACGCCTTCGCCAGGTGCGACCGACACCGAACACATCTGGTGCCTCGGATCGGAGGTTCTCCGGACCGTGCGACGGCTGGTGTAATCACAAAAAACCGAGGGCACAGCCGCGCCCAAAAAAATACCAAAGGGCAAGGCAAAACAATCATATGGTGTATAGAGATGTTGGGGAGGTTTTTTTTTGTCAGGCACATACTATCATAACCACTAGGGGATCTGTGATGATCTGTGCATGGCTCATTCCATGGCAGATCAGCCCAAATGACTTCGACGAGCGCATACGACTGGGGAAGCCATTCATCATCGAAGACGCAGGCGCTTCTGTTGCGCCCACGCAAGATGACCTGTTCCTGGCGCAAGACCGTGTGCCTTGCGCATGTATTGTGAGTGCAAGCCCGAGCTGGCTCTCTTTCCGGTCTTGCCTGCAAGGCGAGAACTTGGACTTGGTTGGCTCCACCTGTCAGCAGTTCCATGAGCGATTTCCGTCTGCCAAGATGCGTGCCGAGTACTCCGGTGGCCGGACACCCATCAGATTTTATGGCAAATGTCCCATCTCTTTGACACTGAGTTCTCGGTTATGTAAGTGAGAAGATTTAGATGTTCGTGGTAGAGGTGTTGCAAGATTCACTTGGGCTCTTGGATTAGCCATCCGATCCGGCAAAAGTGCACTGAGCCCGAGGAGAGAGATGTTCGTTTCGCTTGGAAGCAAGGCGAGGCTAGCTGGCAAGCTGTTCCCATTCTTTCAGATCAAATATCTTTCACGTGACGTGATCACTTTGGCCTTCGACCCTTCGACACCAACACTTCACCGTTCTTCAGATGTTTTTCGTGCATCCCTCCTTAAGCCCATGAGCCATTTGACAATTGGCATAGACTCATTGGTCCATGGACTCTATGGATCTTTTTTCGCATAGACCTTGATTTGGTCGTTTGATGTCGTGCGTCTTCCAGGCATGGTTTGAGAAGGACCGGCCTCAAAGAGCTCTCCAGGACGTATGACGTGCTCTGCTGCATTGCATGACGAATCCGACACTGAGAAGGAACACCCCGAGTGGAAGTGACCATTTTTGCGAAAACCAACCCAGTGGTTTTGGGGGTCCATGTCCATTTCCAGGGGAGTATAAGATAGTATAAGTGCGGTGTAGCGCTTGGCGCCTGCGAAATTGCATGCTTGTAGCACGCGCAACTCTGTTGACAGAGATGCTACATTTGAAGCTTGCTTTTCCCGAGGACCTTCCCGGGAGTCTGGCTGCCACCAACGCACCCTACGTATGGCACGTGAAGGAGCGTATTTCCATTGCAAGATGCTGTGCAGGTGCTGCGCAGGATGGATCAGAGCAAAGTCCCATGGAGTCGGTTTGGTCAAGCGCATTCCTTGTCCTCCCAGGACGGAGGCCATGAAGCGCCACCCGAAGTGCGTGCTGCAGTGCAAGAGGCCTTTGCATTCTACTTACTGTAGGCTACACGGACCTTTGACCTTTGGCCCTTGGCACTTGGAGATGCTATGAAAAACTGCCACTAGTGATCGCTTATCAAACAGAAGGATCATCGTCAGGCATGGCAGCCGCCCTATTTCGTGCGTGGTGCTGTGAACCTGCGGGAGGCCAACGAGTCGGCGGAGCCGCTCAGCTAGTGCGGAGCCGCTTCCCTTCTTGTGATTCCGGCCAAAAACAATGGGAAAAGGAAGGTAAGGCCTCCTTTAGCCCCATGAATGGTAAAGGGGCGAAAGGGTCTTTTTGAAGGGGGCCCACCCTGAACCCTGCGTTGCAGCACCAAACCTTAGAAGTATATATAGTACTTTGCTAAACCTCAAGCAGGATACCCTTGTTCACGGCTCAGTCTTCATTCCTTGCCTTTACGTCCCACAGCACCAGCAACAGCAACAGCTCCAGCTGAGCCACAGGCCCAGCTGGTTTTGGGTTTTTGGGTTTGCTGCGCCGGCTTAGTGGGCTCGACATAGCATGTATGTTGCAGATTTTGTGGCAGGCGCAGTGTGCTTGGATATGGTGGCGGCGCGATGATGTGAATCTTGATGTGCAGATGTCGTGGGAGGCCCAGGCGCAGAGCTTTGTGGACGAAGCGCAGATTTCGTGGCCACGGCGCTTGGTGCTCTGTCCGAGCCGGTCGGAAGGGTTGAAGGTCAGAATAAGGACAGACCGAACGCAAGGTGTGGGGAGGGCCGAGCGTCCGTCGGATAAGCGCGCAAGTGAGCCGGAGAAGCGCCAGACTCAGCTGAAAGGGGGCCCAAGACCTTTTTTTGCGTGGGAGCTTGTGTAGTGTGTCTAGGAGGAAAAAGAATGAATGGGGGGTGACCAGCCGGCATGCAACGCGGGGTCAGGCGCTGCGCCCACCGAAACAAAAGAGGGTTTAAGCAAAAGGCCGGGAGGTTATAAAATACAAAGGGTTGGTAAAACACATGCTTGGGAGTTAACGAATAGGAAGGAGGCGGTGGTTAAGCAAAAAGGTTGCAGATTTTTAGAAGGGGGTTGGGAGGTTAGAAGAAAGCGTGGGGAGGTTAAACACACGGGTTGGAAGGTTAAAAAGAGGGGTTGACAGGGCATCTACCTGATAGAGGCCATTTTGATTCTGATGTATGTTTGCCTGGGTAGCCAAACGTCCCTCCATGTTTCGTTCCATAAAGGTGACCTTAAGGAAAACGTGTTTAAGTGCGCATCTTGTTGAAACCTTCTACCCGTGGTCAAGTGTCCGGTGTCCCGCGTGGTTATGTCCACGTCTCTTGAGGGGGACCTTACCTTTTCTTGTTTTACAGCGCATGTCCCACGTCCGACATCCAGCCTGAATCGGCGCTGATGGCGAGGTTCTGGTTTCATCGCCGCAATGGAGCTGTGATGGCCCATGCGGATGCTCAGCACCGCAGTGCATGTGTTGGAACAGGTGTCCGTGTAGCTTCCATCACTGTGTGGTTGCTCAATGTTGCTCACGGGTCACTTGTGTTTTTTGGTCGAGGACACTTACTGCATACCTGCTGTTTCCCTGCAGATCACTGGCCAGAAGCAGTCGCCTCGAGGGACCATGTTTGGTTTGAACATTTGGTGAGAATTTCCACAGATGGAGGACCCAGGGCCCAAGCGTGGCGGAGTGACGCAGTGGAATCAGACATCCTGAGGCATTGGCGCCTCATGCCGCACCCAAAGGCCAGCCTGTCGGGCCCGTGACGGGCCCGTGATGGGCCCGTGACGGGCCCGTGACGGGCACATCGGGCGGTGAGTTATCTGGCAAACCCTTTTTGGTGTGCGACACCTTTCGCCTTCGTTCATGGCAGGTGCACTTTTCGCGGGATGCGCCCGAGCCGCACGATGGCGGGTTTGGGGGCTCAGAATCATTTGATGGAGGCAGCCTGAACACGCGTGTTCAGAAACCCTTTAGCTGGGAACGACCACTTGCAGATACTAGAACAACTGTTTGCCATGAGGATCTATGGAGCTGATTGGCTTCCATTTTGGGAAGCCACTGTGCAGCAGGGTGAGGCTGGCAAAAGGGGTAATAGTTAGTATGTAATAGTAATGGCCCTGAGCCTCAAACCCATATATATATTATATTTATGGCATGTTCATCCTACTGAGTTTAGGCGAGCTTGCCTGTGTGCAGGCTATTGTGTTCTTCCCCAACATCTTCCACGAAACGCATGTTCCTGAGGACAATCCCGAGTGCACAGTCGCAGCGCTCCCAGCACGCAGGTTCCTTGCGTAAGAATGCAGCTTCCAAGCTCGCTTTAGGTGGTGAATTTTTGCAAAAAACAGACCTTTTCTGACGAATGCAGCAAGACATGGGCAGATTCCGCAAAGCTCAGCGACATGACCAGGCCACCACTTTCCAGATTCAGCTGCCCATCCCGGCGCGTGCCATGACTTCAGCGGGATTGCTTGTTGATGTTTGTGCAATTCGATCAAGAATAGACAGCCCGGTGAAGACGCCATGGGGCGACCCAGTGGATCGCATAGGCTTCAGTCCCTTTGTCCGACTTGATAAGGGCCCCTACATATATATATGAGTCCTCTTTCCTTCCATGCGCTTCTGGACATCATGATGCACGAATCGATGCTTCACGTGCTTTTGACCCAAGAGGTCGAGTTTCTCTTGAGTGATGTCCAATTATTGAATTATTGAAGCTTCAACACGAAGCTTGACCTGAGGCTACTTGAGAGCATACTTGCCCACTTTTGCTATGTCACACCTCTACTATGAGGGCCACTGCCGCGACCTTTGGGATCCGTATGCCACCCTGCGACCACCGAAGGCATGGAGCGGTCTGCGAAAAGCGCTCTTGCCAAATTTTGCATCCCTTTTGTAGCAGAAATTGGCATCACCAGGCGGCCAAAGCTACAACGAAGGAGGCCGCAATAGAAAAGGAACACGCTTCCTTGGTGGCATCAATCGACGACGAACAGCGGCCGCATTGATCTGATCTTTACAGTGAAGTCTACAGTCACATTCTCGTCGAAGTCACGAAAGGTAGCCTGGTAAGGACTACCTTGAGTTTGCTTTGCGAAGCAAAGGGACTGGCTTGAGAGCTTGCTCGGGACTAAAGATTGGTAGATCAATGTCTAACACCCCCACCCCCCCCTCCCCCCTCCACTCCCCTCCCCGTCCCCTCCCCTCGTCGCCAGCACTACTAAATTCTGGACATAAGGTGAAGTCATGCGCTTAACAGTCACAGCAGTACGACGCTGGCCAAGAGGTTGCGCAATACAGCACGAACCCTGCGCAATGAGGTAGCGCAATGCAGCTTCGATGCCGCGCGTGCGCACCCGGCAGCCTGACACAGCGCGTACTGCGTTCACAGACCATATTGCTCGACACCAACGAGCATCGATGCAACACAGCCTCTCTGCAAAGCCCTGTGGAGAAACCCCTCGCGTCGCGGAACACCATTCGACTCAGCCTTATACCATCTTATACCCTAGCGTGGCGAAATCTTACCGCATCGTGGAGCACACCCACCATAGCGTGACGTCCATCCCTGGCAGTACCGGCCGCACCCCTCCAGCACTATCCTTACAAGGGGGTTGGTCACTGAGTCACTGCGGCTTCGATGCAACGCGTGCAGGCCTGTAATCCTGACACAGCGCGTGCAGCTGTGGGACCATAGCTGGTACACATGCGAGCGTTTACGCATTGCGACTTTTACGCGCGCGCCTGTTTTCACACCTAGACACAAACGAGCGTCGACGCAACGCAGCCTCTCGAGCCGTGTGGCGCAATCTGACCGCAACGGTGTTCCTCTTGAGCCTTCTTATGCCTTCTTGTGCTCTCTGGCTTTGTTGGTTTCATCCATGACTGACCAAGGGGCACGTTCCTGAAACACCGGAGACAGTCCCTCACCAGAAAAGGTCCCGACAGCTACTCGGTCCGTCTCTACCTTTCGTGTTTCCCCGCTCAAGTTGGGTTGGTGCAGTCTTGCATCCTCCTCCAACAGCAGAAACCATTAAGTTTAAGTTGATTGGCTTTGATGTTGCAATGCAGTTATTGGATGTTATTAGACAGGTAGACTTAGGTGATGTTGTTTTGTTAATAACAAGTCGCAGGCAGCCACTTCACTTCCCGCCACTATGCATGAATCTGGAACTGTTCCAACATTGCAAGGAACAGCAAACAACCCTGCCACGCTTAAAGCATCGTAAGGAACATCACTTGTACGACCGGGAGCATGAAACCTTCTTTCATGCCCAGAGCCCTACAACGGCAACATGTCAATTCCATTTCTGCAGGGTGGCACTTTAGAACTTGGGCCTTGCAACGGTATGAGGGGTCAACCTACTTCGAGTGAAGCGCCTCAGACGGTTTAATCGGCCAACGGTACTCATTCCGCCTCGACGAAGAAGTGGCGCTACTCTACTGAAATGAGACATTGTTTTAGGATCTTGGGACGCGACGAAACCTTTTCTCAAACACTTCTTTCGGCTCAGGCCTTCTTATCGGCTCAGCGCCATGTGGCCTCTGCAGGGCGGCTGTGGGCCGCCCCATGGCCCCGCTGGTTTTATAGCGAGGCCCGGAAACCAACATACAACAAGTAAAAGGATGAACAGTGTACAGGTATGGACCGTATGGACCGCGTGGATATATGATATATTATATATATATGTGTGTGTGTGTCACTTCCTGTTTCAAAGGACATACACAATGCAACAATTTTTGAAGGCAGGGGGGCAATGAACACTTTGGGAGGGCATTGCCCCACGAAGACCCTTCCATCGTGTTGTGACATGACTTTGGGACGCCAAAGTCACGTACCTGCAGGAATCTTAACCCTTTCTAAAGTGCTGACGAGCTCCCATCGTGTCACCCATGTTCAACATTTCTGGTACACCGACCTAGCATTCTTTCAGTTCTTGCCAGTCAAGGTCTATTGCAGCTGGTATCGTATTCACTAAAGGGGACTACCTTCACTGAATCAGCTCTTCCTTCAGTGCGTTTCGCCACAGAGTCCCACTGAGGGCTGTGGTGTGATCCCCATCGAGGGGCGCAGCATGTGCATAGACCCGCAAAGGGGGATCCTCACTGATTGTCTCCAGCTTTTCACGATCCTTCGATGACTTCTCGTTCTGCTTGGATTTACTGATTGAATGCCGCAGGGCCTACGGAGACCGAACTACTGAAAATCACCACACGCTCATGTGCGTCACTAGACAAACGAAACGGACTTAGACATGTTCAGGGACTTCAAGGGAGTGCTCACTGAGACTATATGCCGCAGGGCTCACTGAATGAATACCACATGCCACTAGGGAATCACATGTCACGTCAAAAAACGAACGTAGGCGTGAAGTGACTGGATGCCTACGGGCCTGGAAACCCCCACCCTCCCACCCTCACCCCTCGCACCTTTTCTTTCCTTTCCTTTTTCGTTTGCTTGGGCTTTCTCTCAGGCTTGTTAGGTCGGCGTTTAGGCTCGTTCAGTCAATGCACGCCCTGCCCACACCCCCACACCCCCTGCACCTTTCCCTTCTTTTCCTGCTTTTTCGTTTGCCTTGTTCCTTCCTTCAGGCTTTTTAGGTTGGCATCCAGGCTCGTTTAGTCAACGCACTCCCTATTTCCACACCCCCGCGGAAAAAAAGACTGCGCCGACTTCGGCTTACTTGCCATGCCTGCGGGCGGGCACCACTGCACGAGAATTCAACATTTTTACCCCTGCTCTAATCACGAAAGGTAGCCCTTTAGGGGATACCTTGAGTTTGTCTTGCGAAGCAAGTGTTGGGACGTCCGGGTCTAATAATTGATCGCTCAATTCAGACCCCCCCCCCCTCGAATTGATTTTTCAATACAGACCCCCCC